GCGGCGGGGCTGGCAGCTCCCGGCCTGCGGGGCGGCGGGCAGGGCCTGGCCCCCGGGGGCAAAGGCCTTTCCCGGGCGGGCCGGTGACAGGCCACCCGCCGTGTGGGGCCTGCTGGCTGCCGGGGAACGCTTTATTTCGGGCTGTCTCGGTCGCAGGTCCCATGTGAGAGCTCACGGCCTCTGCCTGTGCCAGGATTAGCACACGTTCCCTGCACCGGCTCCTCTCAGCTGGAGCTTCAGCGTCCTAGAAATAGAATTAACCCCCTTTCTGTCCCAAGGCCCCGCGGGCCGGTGTCTGAGGAGGACCTTCTCCCACCTCTGGGGGCGAGGAGGAAAGGATTCAACGCTGGTGGGAAGGAGAAGAAGCCTCAGGCTCACAGATATGAGTGCCCTTTGCTGCCTCATGGCACCCAGTTCCCCCCTCCCTGCTTCTGCTTCAAACAGCAATTCTTACTCTGCCTTGCTGTGATAATAGGGAAAATGCCCCAGTTGCAGGTGAACATTTGGGCAGAGTCCTGCTCTGGAGAGATCATCGTAATTAAGGAGCTCCTTCGACTTCCAGTGACCAGTTATTTCCCAAGGTGCCCAGTGTGCCCTCCCCAGGGGGGCAGGCAGTGTGGGCTGAGGCTGGGGGGTGGTGGCATCTCAACCTTTCTTGCACCTTTTCCTCTCAAAAGCTGGTTCCCCGCCGCAGTGGAGTGTCGCAGGCTCTGCCCGGTGGGGTGGGAAGCCCCGAGGTTTTAGGAAGCCCTGAGGTTTTAGGAAGCCCCGCTGGCTCCATCAGCCCGTTATCTCCCCAGGAGCTGGGGAGGAGAGAGCTATTTCTGTAGAAGGTGAGGCAATTGCTCCAGAAAATTATTCAGCGGATGGAATTAAAAGGAGGAAACAAAACGGCGAGTGGCCTCTGAGGAATAGTGTTTTCAAAATCATATTGATGGCCTGAGGTGGTTTGTGCTGCTTGTTTACCGTCAGAAATTGGAGGCTGGAGGAGCTGCGCTGGGAAGGAGCTGCTTCCTGGTGATGTCATTCTGAGGAGTTAAATTAGATGTTGCTGAAGAGGCACCTGGCAGTGGTGCAGAGAATACTGACAAATTGCATGGCCTGTAAAGTTGGGAAAGCCCTGTTTATGGGCAAGTCATTCCTTGCCCTGGGCTAGTTAAATGTGGCGTTTGAAATGCTAAAAATACCCAAATGCAAAAACTGTGCTGAAGGCACAGGCATCTCCACATCTTCTGAGAGTGACCTCTAACGTTACCCTTCCTCCTTCCCGACTCATTGCAGGAGCGATGGAGGCAGGAAACCACTGGGGAATAGCCTCATCTTCTTGGGAAAGGCTGGTGAGGTGCAGAGATGGAAGAGTTCCTGGGCAGTGTCCCCCCTCACCCTGCAGGGAGTGAAGGTCCATCAGCCTCGCACCTCTGGGTGTTTGTGGGTGTCATGAGGCCGGGGCTGTAGTTTGGGGTTATTGCCATGAAGTGCTTTTGTTAGATTCTCTCATCATGTTTCCTTTTTTTGCCGTTGTTGGGGTATTGCTGCTTTATCTTGCTAAAAGAGGAATGTGTGGGTAGGAGATGATTATTCTACTTCCAGTTATTCTCTTCGTTGCTCAGGAAGCTCAGGCCTCGCACACTCATCCTTTCCTGCAGCCAGGGCAGATCCTGGGGTCCTGCCCATTAAACCTCTTCTCTGCTTTTGGCCCTTCCTGGCTCACACCAGCCCTTTAATGTCTGTGGCTCAATTGATCAAATGTAAATTAGGGTGATAGTCAGTGCATTAGGGCGAGTGGTTGGAGGCTTAATTAGCTGTCTGATGTTTGTAAAACATCCTGACCCGGGTGAGGGCTCTGCAGTAATGGGCACGCACAGGCACACGCTTGAACCTGATTTAGTGCTGGTTTTATGATGTGTCTGTGGTAGCTTCTGTGAAAACCAACAAAAAAAAAAGTGAAAACCTTTTCTGAATCTTTGCTATGTCCACATCAAGGGTGCTGTGCTGCTGTTTAGGAATTACAGCAGGACAAGATACAGATACTTCGCTTAAGGACTCACCTTTTCCTAAGTGCATGATTCTGTTCCCTGGCTTAATAAAAATGAGGCAATTAGCAAAAGTGGATCTGTATTTCAGAGTGATTGTAACTAATGCGCTGAAACAGCTGAAAACATGCCAATGGCCTCGCTCACAGGTTGTTTAAGGCACAGGAATAGAGTGTGGTCACAGGATAATTATTGTCTGCTGCAGCATTAATTGTGGGGGTCCTTATGGAAACGGGTTGATGTAATTGTGTTAATTTTATCCGCCGGGCAGTGGTGCTGTGAGTGCCAGCCCCGCTGCTGGGGAGCAGCTGACGAGCAGGGGCTGGTCCATCCCCAAAAAGTCCTTTATTTTTTTTTGTAATTAATTTTAAAGGTTTCTAACCCACGGGGACAGTTTGTCCCTTTACCCAGCTGGTCTGCGAGCTTGGGGTCACTGGAGTTTTCCAGGAGAATTTCCTTGTCATCTTCCTGGCAGCTCTGGATTCTCTCTGATGTACGTGCTTAAGGTTGGGATCTTCCTCCTCGTTCCTCAGCGCTGAGGAACGGATGTGGGAGCCTCTTAGAAAGAAATATCTCAAATGGCTTGGAAAATGTCATTGTGAAATTATCTGCCCAGACTGTTGCTTTTGCAGAGCTTTTGCTGCAGACTTCGGCGGCGCCGGTGCCTCGGTGGGAAATTGGTGTTACCCTGGGCCAAGCGCTGACGGGAGATGTGCCACAAAGTCAATTGTGCAGAAGGCGGGGAGGTTTCAGACCTTGCCCGAGTTTGGGTGGCTAATTAGTCTCAGAGGTGATGCCTGGAGGTTGTCAGATGTTGGTGAGTAGCAGGAGTCTTCCCACTGCTGTTTGGGATGAAATGAGTTGCTGGTGGGGAAGCATCGCTGTGGGACAGCCTGGGGAAGGTTCTGCTGTTCCTGTTCTGCTGGAGTTTCCCAGGATGTGCTAGGATGTAATTATTTTAAAATCTATGATAATATGAGGAGCAGCAGGAGCTGCTCACATAGTTGTTTACTCTCCCATAAATTTGCAGAGTATTTGAATACTCTGAATTAGGTCCTCACTTGATACAGTATGAAGAGCTCCAACAGGGGAGGTTTAGACTGAACATTAGGAAGGAATTTTTCACGGAAAGAGTGGTCGGGCATTGGAACAGGCTGCCCAGGGAGGTGGTTGGGTCACCATCCCTAGATGTGTTTAAGGGACATTTAGATGGGGTACTGAGGGATATGGTGTAGGGGAGGACTTTGTAGAGAAGGGTAGATGGTTGGACTCGATGATCCCAAGGGTCTCTTCCAACCTCAATGATTCTATGATTCTAAGAGATGGTCAGTACTGACGATTCTGGCCTTTTTCTGTAACACCAGACATGCTTTTTTTGGGTGAATCCCATTGGAGCCACAGTTGTTCTCCTGTGTAATCCTTACAGCCGGCTGCTTCCTTCACTTAGGCCTCTGTGGAGAAAAGCAATCTCTGGCTGGTTCTAGACCCTTCCGTAGGTTCCCACCACAGCAG